GGGACTGTTGAAACCTAATGATTGGTGTCAGCATCACGTCCTCGTGTCTCCCCCCTCAGCTCCCGTGTGTTCCTGCTCACCTTGGCTGGAGCGTTGACGTTGCCCGTGTGGTAGCCGATCTGCAGGGAGCCGAGCACCGCGGCCAGGATGGAGGTCAGGAGTGTGGTGGTCAGATGGCTCTGCAACAATGAAGTTAGGGACATTTATTTCTTCACCTTTTTAACTTATCTTAAACAGAAACTGGTTTTCATAGAACATTAAAATGCTTTGAGTATTTATTTTTCTTGTATCAAACACATTCCGGACGAATTATCTTAAGTTACAAACATGTTTTCTGAATGAGTTGCCCTGAGATGTTTTTTATTTGCACCTCAAAACGGTTACTCTCAACACACAGACACGCTGTACATATTTAAACAAGTGTGATCTGAGCTCAGTGGCCCCACATGGTTCCACAAATAAAAGCAGCCGTCTGGCTTATTTGTAAAGGTCAAGGATAGCAACCACAGTATTTTCACACACTGGCAAGATGTACAGAATTGTAATGACCACAAGTGTATGATAGTGCTCCTTCTGTCTGTTCATTTGTAGATTAAAGGGTTAAAAGAAACAAACCTCCTGCGGTGCCATTTGTTCAGGTGAGACGGGGATTCACTCCCTCAAGATGTGGGTACATGTATCTTCGTCTGACTCTCTGCTGTGAAAAACACAAATTATGTGCTGACATGGGATTTTATATGTGATAAAATGAAAATTAGACTAAATCACATACATTACATTCAATGTTTTATAGAATACTTTTACTTCTAGACAAATCATTTTTTAGTAAAACTACATACCTATGATGACCTCCCATTAGCATTAAATCAAAACAGAGATGTCCTGGACCTGAATGCTACAAGACAGGAAAGGATGTCTAGAAATACTGCCTGAAATTAAATCAGTTAGGAAAATTATGTTCATGTAACTTTCAGACTCTGACATTAACAATTCACATATCGAATTCAAAAATATAATGAAAAAAGTGATTAAATTATTTAATTTAATAATTACCACTATCCCTTGTACAACAGCTTTAGCAAAATCTGACATTAATACATAGTTACACCTTTGTAGGCAGTTTATTGACTACGTTGCATGTTGCGTGCGAGTCTATATATAGATATAGATGTTAATATATATGTATTGATAAACTCACCACTGATCCTGAGTGTCGTATGTTGATCCCGTCTTTATTCCTGAGTTTCAGATATGACTGTGTAAAGTGAACACACCACTACTAAAAACTGCACACACACACACACACACACACACACACACACACACACACGTGCACCAGTGATGAAGTCGCACCCAGCTGGTGAATGTGGGGCAGGCCTGACAGAAAGGCAGCCGCGGGCCTCCTCTGGTTGTCATGGACCAGCTGATCGACGTCCTGAGATATAACTGACTGAGGATCAGCTTATCTTCTGCACCCATACCCTCAAATTAACTCTGGTGGAATAAGCGCAACTGTTCCCGGGTCAGCACCAAAATACAAATTGTTTCCTTGTTGGAGCACTGGGTTGTCATTTTGGCAATCACACGGCCACGTGCTTCAGCTATGTGAGTGTGTGTTGTGGGTGACTTTGTCCTGATGATGTTCAGTGAAATGGAAAACTCACGAGTGTCCGATGACCTCGCATCTCCATGTGTCTTTCTAGGAACTAAGAAAAAATGGTTTTAAGATTGAACCATTTTTTATTTCTCCAACTAAAAACTGAGATTATTTTATCAGCATGAGACGGTGGTGTAGTGGCTGGCAGAGACAAGACATGAAACTTGATGATTCTAAATTCCCCGTTGGTGTGAATGTGAGCATGAATGGATGTCTGTCAGTCAGTGTCAGTCAGCCCTGCGATAGTCTACCGATAAGCGGTTAAAGGATGGATGAGCAGGAAACCTTACAACTGACAATGACATGTGAAAAGTTATGTTTTCACTAAAAGACAATGAATATCATGTCACAGTTTACGATCATGTAAACATAGAAAAGCCACTGTGTTGAATACGGTTAAATAACCAACTTTGTTTTTACATTAGTGCTCTTCACACAAACATATTTAAACACCATTGATGTGAGTAAATTACAATGGATAATCTGTTCACGGGCATAGTTGTTATGACGGAATCTGTTCAACACATACATCTTTGTTCTTGTAACTGGTAGGAAGTATTACAGAAAAATGATTTCATTCTGAGGAGGAAAATAAAGCAAATACATCTTCACCCAGTTTCACTCCTGAATTGAATTGGAAAAGCCTGCTTGCTTTATAATACCATGAATACGACTAGTTTTTTAGGGAATTTAAATGTTAACTTGATTGCACCTTGTGGGTCAAGATTAGCTGACCGAGGCAGAGACACTGTGTGCTGCTTTCAAGGATAGTCCCTTAACGGGCAACACCCATCACACAACGCTGTGACAATTTAGAGCCTCAAAGATTTAACAGACAGTACCAGGAAGAAGTAAATGTCCTCCTCCTGAGACAACAAGCCTGCTATTGGCTCGAAAAAGCTCCCTGCTTCTCTGTCAGTCTGAAGCTCTGGAGGTATCGGTTTCCATCCTGGAGCTGTGACCGCAGCAACATGCACATATTAGAGATTAATCCCTGAACCGGACTGATCCTGATCAAATAGCTCACACAAGAGGACGCAATGGAGCTTTGAGGGCTAAAGCCATCTAGGCCTGATGTAGTTTTTAGATAATCTTATAATTTATGTTCATTATAGTAAGGGGGATTATCTGTACTTACATTGGCACTTGCATGTGTTTGCGTTCAAATTTGTCCATGTGCTTGTGGGTGTTTTACGTGGTTGGTATATTTTAATAGCGTATCCATATATTGTATGTGGGTAATGTGTAATCGTCCTTGTGTTTCCCACCTATGATGTAATGGAGAACTTAAAATCATACTTGCGTGAAAATCTTATTACCTCAGTTTTACGGTTTTCCTGCTTTAGTTTTAGCTGATGAATTGCATCGTCCGGTGTTTCTTTGTTCATTTCCTCACATGGATCATTGAGGTTTAATCTAACCCAGTCTTATCCAATGACTGTTAGCTTGGCTGTTTTTTGTTTGCATGCTGGTATGTGCAAACACATAATGTAAAGGCTGCATGTGTGCACATGAGGCATTTCCACGAGTAAAATACAGGTTACAAGAGAAATGAAAATGAAATCATGATAGATGCACACATGCCTGCCTCTTGAATAAATCCAAATAGGCAGTAACCGCTTTTCGCTGCCAAGTTGCACGAGCCAAATAAATAAAAGCATGAAGAAGAGGGATGAACTTAATCACAATGCTGGGGGAGGAAACATTCCCCGGCCTCGCCACAAACCACATCATTTGTGCATAAAAATGATCCTTTATCGTAAAACGTAAGTAAAATATGTCCAAATAAATATTAAGTGTGGCCCTGAGGGCCCCGGAGGTGATGAAAAGCAGATAATTCCAATCCACAGAAAAACCTGCGCTGCACTGACTCATATGTGAAACACTTGAGCTGTGTTGAAGACGGAAAACAGAAGTCCTCCCATTAAACTTAAACTTTACGCTATAAAACAGTGCTAGTTTCACATTTTAAATCCATCCATCCATCCATTTTCCTCCGCTTATCCGGGGTCGGGTCGCGGTGGCAGCAGGCCAAGCAGGCTGACCCAGACCTCCCTCTCACCGGCAACATTTTAAATCTTTATTTCTTATTAACGCTGTAAATTATGGAAAGCAACTTTCCACACTGCTGATAAATGTCACCAATTTCAAATATTAGATATCTCCTGTTCTGTACTTTGTGTAACTTTTTGTGATTTATTTTCAGACCTCAGAGAACAGAACATATTGTGCTTTTAAATCACCTACAAGAAAATGAATTTAACTGAAAGCAAATTGGGAATTAGAACTAAACGTGCTTGCACGCTGTTGACTTTCAATCTTTATTTGTGATGGAAATCGAACCACAAAACCACCCCGATGTCACAGGAATGTATTTAACACAAACCTGCAGCACAGCAGAGCACAAAAAAAGAAAAAGAGGAAAGAATAATTAGCATTGGGGGGCAAAATGCGTCGTCCACCTGCAAGCTTTGTTCCTGCAGCTGAGTTCTCAATCAGCGTGTGGATACGCCTGTCTGGAACATGACCGCTGACCCCTGAGCCCTGGCCTCCTGGCAGGCAACCCCCCTGACCCTGCTGGGCAGGTGCTGCTGCAGGAACAGAGGGCATCAGGCACAAATGGTGAGCGGTGTGCACCGTCATCCCCCCACCGCTAATGTTAAGCTATCACACAGACTAATTGCCCTCTATAATTACCTGTAATGGTGTTTGATCTGTTTTTAAGTGTTTCAATGCACACAACAGCGAAAATAAAAGTGACTTGTCAATACTAAAACATGTGGTTATGGGCTCTAACAGACTACTACGGGGACAGATGTCCTATATTTCTCCATTTTGTTAATTAAGATCTTTAGTGAAAAGAGACTGGACCCTCTATCTAGACATGCTGGATTAGTATATGTTTAGTGGAGACAACATCATGCAGCACCTGTGCTGCCCACACATCACTTCTAAAACCCCAAATTCCAGTCTTCACCTATGAAACCCCTTTAGCAACCCCCCCCTCCACCCCACCTTCAACAAAGGAGAAAACACGCACTCTCTAAAACACACACACATCCCTAAGCAGCTGCGTCATTACGAAACTCTTTTGAACTTCACACTGTGGAAGTCAAATGCCACATGTGTCAGTACAAGACAGATGTACTGCAGCTGCCTCTGGGCTCCAATGTCATCTGTGATACAACCCCCCCGATTCCAAACCACCCCCATCACCAGCGACCTCACCCCGAAGCCCTCCGCCTCCCATCATGCACTGACAACATCCGTACCTTTGAAGTCTCATCCCTAAGTCAAAGAATCTCACACCGCACACAAATCATGAGGCCAAGCAGAGTGCATCTTTGTAGTCAAGTTTTATCAGTCAAAACAGTTATGAAGCAAATTATGAAGCAACAAAAGAGTCCACCGTAAGCTAGTTTTACAATATCACCTGCCAACTTTTAAACAAATAGTGGCATATAAGTCCCCATTAAAGTTAGAAAGTTGCAGGACATAACCTGTCTTTAAAACCAAGTATTGTCAGTTTATTGAATTGAATTGGCTTGGCTGATAATGTTTAATAGACCTGTGTGTGTGCATATCTGGCTAACAGGGTTCAATATGTGGAGTTGCAGTCTGCAGTGAACCATCTTCACCGTTAGGGGGCAGTGTTGAACTCCTTCTCCCCCCCCACAGAGATCTTGTCCTGTGCTCCAGCTCTAAATGGCTTTCTGCTGCACAACACTGAGTCTAAACTGAGCATAGTTTGAGTAGATGTGGTATAAAACTGTATCTGGATCAGTTCTATATTATCGTTACTTTTGTTGTTGTTTTTCTGGCATGATTGTACCTAATGTAGTGCAACTATGGTGGGTAAAGCAAAATGGTGCTTGGTAGCCGTACAATATATACACGTTAATTTCTCATTATGGCCGCTTTAAATTTATGTCTCAGTTCAGGTGGGGAAAAACACAAACTACCCAGAAAAGTGATACAACCCAGGTGTAAGCCACTGCTGTGTGCCAAGATGCTCTTCGTAAACTCTATCAGTGTGGGTTCCCCTCCAAAAAACATCTCTTTCTTTTTGGTCCTGTCTATTGTTTAGTCTCGTGTGAGACTATTGTGACACAGGTTCCCATAACTCAAGAAATGGGGCCTGTGTAATAAGTGGAAAAGTATTTTTGTTTTCAATTGCGTCGCCAAACATCTGCACCTCAAGCCACATCATTTACCAATTTCACCCAAAGACAACACGTCTCAGTGTTTTGTTTCCCAACAGATCTAGTTTCTTCAGCTATGAACAAGAAATATTGTCAAAACACATCAAGATGGTCCCGACAAGCCTGTTGGGGCTTTGCAGTGGAAAAGTTGCCGGTGAGCGGCGAGACAATCTTGGCTTCTCCCCGTCAGACTGACAGTCGTCTGTAGGCCTCCCTCACTATACGTCCCCCATCGTGATTAGCAGTGATTACCAGCCTGTTAGGTTGGTTTTTAGATCTCTCATGTGATCTGCAGCTCTGCGGCGTCTGGAAGCACTTCAGCAGACACACAGGGCCAGTGTTCCAACCTGGACCGAAGCAGCCACTCAGGAGGAGAGACTGCACAGCCGTCTGAGAGAGACGTTTCTTTTCTCATTCTTGGCACAACTGCCCACTTGTGATTGTAGTGGATTAAGCACCAGTTAGATACTTGTATACATTCTTGACGGCGTTTAGTGATGACGGGAGTCGTAAAACACAAGCTGAAATAGTCAAATAACCCCACCACAGATACAATAAACAGTGCTCAGAGCTTATGGCATACAGTCTGGTCCAAGCATTTCAACGTGAATTAGCTACTGTAATAGCCTATTGATTGACATGATGTAAACACAGAGAGAAGTATATATATATATGTCAGTGAATAAGTGAACACCAATAAACCCCATAGTGAAATTTAGTAAATCAAACAAACAAACAAAGGTTATTGTACATATTTACAATGGGAGCCTTTTCTGTCTCATGTTCATGAGCCACTGCAGTGACTCTTGGGAATATAAGAAATACACAACTCCACAACAAATGCGCAAGCATTCAGACCACTATAGCAAACTCAGGATTCTCCAATTTTCCAACTCAATTGTTCCCAAATGTGAGGAAGAAATTTTATTTTCATTCCAAAACTTGTTCATATGGTCTTTTCTCGGGTGTTTTTCTTCTTCATCTCATACCCTTGTGGGTATTTAAAAAGACTTGCTGCATTGTCTTGCGTTAGGTGGCAAAGCTCCAAGTATGTGTGGTGGTAAGTGTTTCTCAGAGCAGGACTGACATCAACTGTTGGAGGACAGGCAATACGTGTGTTTACATACACAAAATGAACTCCGAAATTACTGGGGAGACTCAAATATTTATTTTAGGAACTGGCATTTGTCAAAGCCACATCTTGTTTACAAGAACTGCAATAAACGTGAGTGTGACGAGTGAAATGAGCTGATATTAACGGGATACTGAGCCGTGTAAACATTTTACTCCGTTTACTGGTTGGGTTTAGTCATCTCTGCCACCTCTTTTTCCCGGGACTAATACGAATATTTAAACGTCTCTGCACTGTAATCTGTTTTGGAAAAATAAAATCCCCACCAGGGGGGTCTTTGTCAGAGATTTGTTGATGTTATTGCAATTTGTAAAGGTGGCCTATGATCCTATGATCACCAAACAAAAAAAACAAACGTCACCAATAACACACTGGAAATAGTCTTTAGCTGTTTCATTGTGTACTAATTGAGTAATGAATTATGAACCATGTAGGGTAGTAAAACTAGCCGCATAAAATGACACATTGAACAACAGAATGTCAAAAGTTATGTGTAAACCATCGGCCTTCATTGTGGTTTGAACTTAAAGCTGCATTAATCAACATTTTTTAGATAAAAACATTAAATCCAATTAATTGTGCTTGTAGAAATGTTTTGCCTGCTGTTAGTATACCGCTGCTTAGACTGAGTATGTTCTATACCAGTATTTGACAGCTGCTACACATTTTCCACAATCTGTTACTGTTAGCTTTTTGCAATGTTTTTTTCTTAACTAAAATGATTTCTTTTTTGTTAGCACAAACTTTATACACAAAAGTAGAAAAACAATGAAAACCTCAAGGCATCTTGTGCAGACAACATGCTGATAACCGAGAGGACTACAAACAACCTGATGGGCATTGCATTGGTTTTGGGTTGCACTAAAAGTACACCTTTAAGTAATCGTGTGGTAAGTTCTTACAGCGAGCGTTCCCCAACAGTGGTACTGTATGTACTGAACAAAAACCAGACCATATTGTTCACAAAGATCTGATTCTGAAGCCAAAAATGTCAATCTGTCTGCAGAGTTCTGTGCAGTGCAAGGGGAGTCCTCAGCTAATTCTGTGCTGATAAATTAGACTTCACGGTCACAGTTAGATTGTAATACATGCCGTTCACTTAATATGCTCGCATACAACATTACACATTTCTTTAAGCCTACATTGCCATAGTTCCTCCTGAGTATCGAGCAACATTTGGGCTGAATTTGACTGTAAGCTCCTCTTTAGTGACTTACCACTGGCCTGTGGGCTGCTGTGTGTAACAGGGGAAGTGTAAGTTTAATTTAGTAGCCACAAAATGTGTGTTAGTGCCTGTTCCTGTTCTGCGAGGACAGAATGAATCACAACAGCAGACTAAAACACAAGGGGAAATGTGGTATCATACACATCTTCCAGTGGTGATCTTTTTACAAATATATTCTCATTCTTACCTAGACCTTTGCAGTCAATTGAAAAGAAGAAAAAAAACACGTACAAACGGATAAAATGTCAAACATAGGGAGGAGAAAGTGCAAATATTTTGGCGCCGCTTTGTTTTCTTTTCACTTTTTTCTGTTCACTTTTGTTTTTTTGTTTTTTTTTTGAAACTCGGGAACTTCTTCATTTTTCTGCTCCATCTTTCTCTTTCCTGTCAGCAAGCGTACAGATGCCTTCCCTCTGTGCCCTCTGCTCTCGTCTCAGCTTCTGGATCCTTCTCTTCTCACACCAGACGACCTACTGGGAACAGAAAGACAGACAAGAAAGAGGGGGGGGGGGGGAATGTATTCACTCGTCTGTTTTAGTATCCGGCATCCAGATGCACTCACACATAGCTGCTGCGTGACAAGACAATGACCTCTCTCCACTCCACAGGCAGAAGCTCACTTACACGCACTAACACACACAATTTAAACAACATATGTAACATCTCATATAATTTGATTAAAAAAACATCACTACTGATGCATGGTGTGTCTCTAAGTGACCATGTGGAAAGCTGATGTTTGACTTCCTCTTAAACCCAGCGCCTTTCCTTCACATCTCACCAGCATCATTTTTATTTATTTTTTCCATCAGCAGCATGTAAGCTTTTTTCTTTGCCATCTGTTTCTTTTTTACAGGACAAAGTCAGTGGTTACTAACTAAAGTTTGACTGCTAAGCAGCTGTGCCCCACCTACACTCAAACGGACCAAACGGACCGTCACATGTGCTGACGTTATGTGACAACCGAGCTCTAACTCAACAGTTGTGTGTGTTGTGTTGTATTCGTGCTGAAACTGCTTGGGACAGTCAGTGCTCTGCACAAGGGATGGACTGCTCTCTCATCAATCAGATGAGTGGGAGGGGGGGAGGGAGGGAGGGAGGAGGAGATGGGTAAAGAGCTTAGATTGCTTACAGATGGCTGTCAGAGGGGAGCAGAGGTCCTCCAGAGCCCTGTGAGAGCCCTGTGTGTGTGTGTGTGTGTGTACTTATTAGCATATCGGTGCATTCAAACAGGGGTTGTGTTTGTGTGTATATGCGTGTACGTCTTTCCATCTATCTATGTTATGTTTGCAGGTGTGTGTGTGGGGGGGTGGGGGGGATGTGCAGGTGCACTCTCTGTCAGTGCTGGTTATGTTAGTCCAGCTTCAGGTCTCAGACGATGCATTCAGTCCACATTCAAATAATCTGTTCAGATTTAAAAGCATCACAATCCCTGCAGCGCTCCACAAATCACAGATTATCTTCCATATGAGTCCTGCAGTGCTCTCACCTCTACTTTAAGTGTATGAAATAAATGTTTTACGGCCACCTATTTCTACCATGACCACCAGTGGGATCCAGATGACTGTTTGCAGTCTTAGCTGTGACATTTTTATGGGACTGTCGTTTTCTGTTACTGTCTGTTACAAAAACACAACAATAAATCAACTTGTATCCACCCAGTTCATAAAATATTTTCTCTCTTTATTTTAAACACAAACGGACAGAAACCTCTCTGCACAAGAAGGGGTGTGGCTTACATGACCAGCCACCACTAAAGCAGTTATGGCAAACACTATGTAAAGAGAATACTATCTTTCAGAAACTTTGAATATCATATCATTTGATAGGAGGACTGACCAGCTGACGTTGACATCTTTAGGTCTGGCAACATTAATTTAGGTGAAAACAGGATACAAAGAAATCCTGGAACGATACTTGAATGTTAAGATAGTTTAGCTCTACGATTCAGAACAGCTGTTATTTGACTGCGGTTTGGCCTCTGTGGTGTTAATGTCTTTTAAAAGTAACATTCAAGCAACACCGTGCAACTCAAAAACAACAACTGAAGTATTTTTTGTACATTCAGTGTCATAAGCCCTTTACCGTGGCAGCGTCAGTGACATGTTCCAACTCTAAAACTATGCAGCTCCGCACTATTTCCTGATGCCTCTCTCCAGTGAAGTCATGCTGCTCCTCTCTTTAGCTCAGATATAAATGTCGTCGTTGTTGTAAGACGCCGAGCCACAGTAGCGCTGATGGATCGGCTTTGCAATTACGGGGCTCCAGAGCAGCGAATGGTCCTCTCCCTCCTCTCTCCTCCCAGTCACCGAGGACACTGTCTGTGCTATTAACAACACAAAGCTCACCCGGCCTCTCCCTGGACACCTTGGCCCCACTTGTGATAAAGAGCTGAAAGCAGATCCCGTCTAGCAGTGAATCGCCTCGCCTGGGACCAGCTAATAAAGACACTTGGCTCACGAGCTGGGAATCATGGTACACCTGTACATGGTGGCAACCGGGGGACAACGACTTGGCTAAGGATTCACAGGCCTGAGTTTACTGTCGGCTCAGGGTTATGGTTCCAAACTGGTGAGCAAAGCACTGCTCATCAAACTGTCACAGTCCTCTCGGTTACCTTCAACGCGGTACAGTGTTTTCGAGGTGATGTCACAGTAATTAAATCACAAGTGGCCTGTGGAGCAAGTGCTGTTGGCTCTGAGAGGACGGGGCTCTGGGCTCTCTAATGGTCCCGCAGCCTCGGTGCCAGGCCTGCCTCATAATGCCCTCCTTTCATTCCCGCCTAATGACGGACGGGAGAGGAAGAGACGAGAGAGCAGGGGAGGAAATGAGAAAGGAAGAGAGGAGCTCAACAATAACACAATCTGCACTTCTGACCGTTTATGTCGATGCAAGCTTCACCGACTGAACAAAGCAGGAAGTTTAAAATGTCCTTTGTCAGGTGAAATCAGCCCCTAAAAGCTTTCTGTGACCAGGTGGCCATATTCCTCATCTTCCCTCTTAGTCATCAGTGCTTAATGACGTCAAAACAACTGAAAAATAGGTTTTGATTTAAATTTTCAATAAGTAAAGTGTACATTTTTCTTTTCAAATTTTGCTAACTCTCTCTTCTTACGGTCCTACAAAACTCAGGTTGAATACCTCCCTCGAAACCCGATAATTGAAGCTGGATCAGGACTTCTCATGAAGAATGTGGATATGCTGTATTCTCACACTTCTTCCGAACATGCAGTGAGCAAACTTTGGTGAATGGGGTGCGAAAAAATTATTGGCCAGATATACTACGAGTGAAAGGGACGAGGTTTCTTTTAGGCCAAGTTGTCGGTATGTTAAGTTATTTAATCAGAAATAATAATAATAATATTCAAGTTTTTATAATTTCCTCGGCTAGAATGATACATTTTTGTTATCTGTAGACTGGAGGGAAAACGGTGTCGATTTTGACAAATGAAAATAGGTTGTATTAAAAATCTACCTTCACAAGGCTAAAAGGATGGTGGTCCATCCTTCATCCATCCAACCTCTATGTAACGTAATCACTTTTAGCTGCCACTGTAGCGCATAGCAGCACGCACCATATTTTGCAGAAAAAATTCACTCGTGCTCAACAAGAGCCGATGCCTCCTGCAAAAAGCAACCACTGTGAGCACTCGCAATAGATCCCCTAATATCTTATAATGGTGTAAGCCCATGTTTGGTGTGTCCTTGTGCGTGCAAGCATTAGTACATGCACGCCCGCATGTGTTGGCTCTTACTCAAAAGCATGTTTATGTCTTTCTAAATGGAATTAAGATTTTTGAAAAGAACATCGTGAACTCAGGTTTAACAGTGAAACCTTGTTGTGTTTTGTTCATTACAGTAAAGGAGACACAATGCTTGGGCCGTGTGAGCTACCAGACCTGCTGCCCTGTGCTTCTGTTCCATATCTCATCTATAATGAGGATTCCAGTCCCTCCAGAGGATGGATGCCACCCTCTGCAGCACTTCCAAACTCACACAAGGTATTCAGATGTTTTCTTTTGCCGTTGCCAACGTGTGGAGAGTGAGGAGCCTCACACAGATGTGCTCCCACTCTGCCCCACATGCTCACAATCCTCCACCAAAAAGCACGTCCTGCAAACAGTAAATATGTCCAACAACACTCCAGTGACGACCCAAAGCTGCGACGGAGCATGATAAGATTTAATGTCTGGCAAAGGCCGCTCGACCTAAAGCGATCCAGGTCATTTAGGATCAGCTAGGCATACCTGAACACAATGGCCATCTATCTTAGTCAAGGCAGAATGCTGCCATATGTTCTTACAGACTCTGTCTCCTCTCTGAACATACCTCAGTCTCTCCACAACCATCACCAGCTCAGAGTGCCTGAGTGGCTGCATGAGGAGCTGCATAAAACTGTCAGGCTATTTGCCTCCAGCTCTTAAGCATGAAGGTGAGAGATTTGTTGACCACAGGGAAAACAAGCGGCCGAGCCTCCTTCTCTGCTGCTCCAGCACCGGGGCTGTTTACCCTGGCTGGCTGTGCCCAGAGGGTCCGAGAGGCCTGACGTTATGCCCGCTCAGAGCCACTGTTCTCCGGGTGAGGCGGGGCAGCGCCAGGGTAAACACATGACCTCAGTGCTATGTGGCGCTGAACCGGCTAGAGTCAACAGCATTAACGGGACCAATAATTACTCAATTATTTCTATCTTGAGATGAGACTCCATTGAAGCAAAATCTGACTCTTATTGAACCACTCTGTAAAATACAGATGACAATACACAATCTTAACAATGGACACACGCACACACATTACTGCACATCCACGCTCAACAAAACGAACATATACCTCAAACTTAATTTACTCACAAAAGCTTTGCATGTAAATCAAACGCTGCTGTGTCAACCAGCTGTATCTACTCCAGACTGATGTACTTCACCAGTGTGAATGTTAATGGATTACACAATAAGCCTACGACAGTACAGCACTCAAAGCCAGAGGCAGTTAGTGGAAGCGTATTAGTTTGCCTTACTGAACAATTTTGTCCCTTGCCTTGGCCCTTGGTTGCCACTTGTTGTTGAGCTACCTGCAAAACAGAAAAAAACAAATTTTGAACTTGATGGCGGTGGATGTCTTGTTCTTAAGTTACTGGAACTTTTAATATGCCATGAGATGAAATAATTATAGTACACTTTAAATAAAGCAGAATATGTGTTCATTACTTTTCATATGCATCAGCGCAGCTACCTGTGAAACATATTTGTCCCTGTAAGTATTTTTTTCCTTTTTTTAATTGAAAATTGTAATTTGTGTGTTAAATGTGTTTCACAACCTCCGAGCATCTCGTAACTACTTCAACATTTATTCATACCTTTTCATTTGGATTGTAGAAGCAGCTTCTCACTGGGAGCAGCTTACTTAATGACCTCTATTACACTCATGATGATGAGTAATAGTAGTGATGAGACTGTGTCTGGATCCACTAATACGTTAGTCTGGTTTAAATATTCATCATGAAGTGGAGCGCTACACCTTATTCAGACTGCCACCACATCTGTTTGTCACATGCACTGCAGTTACTTCATCCTTTACTCTTTTTAAAACTATGACATGATGAAGTCATTAGTAAAAATCTATTATGGAAACAAATGGAAATGGTTATGTTTATTGTAGTTTACGCTTGTAACTTGGGAAAAAACTAACAGAAAATGGTAACACAACCAACTACCTCTTCAATTTGACATGTCTATAAGAGAATTAGTTTTATTTTTATTGAAGTAGCCATGAAACGGCATGCCAAAGGGCATACGTCGTTGAAGGAGACGAGACTCGATGCAGATTTGACCCAGCTGGCCTGAGGTTCATACCGCGGTCATGACCCTCCTCTATGACCCTGCCAACAGACTCTCAAACTTCGAGTCCTTTTCCTCTTACCCTCCTTGCTGACGCCCAGGCAGCCTTTCAGCTCCTGCAGGGAAATGGCTCTGTCCTTATTCAGGTCACAGTAGTCGGTGAACTTGCGGGCGCATTTCTTGGGTTTGGCTTTCTTCTTCAGGTACCTCTTAAATGGCTTGAGTTCCTTCTTGTTGATGTCATGGCTGCCGTTGTTGTCCAGCTGGGCGAAGTACCAGTGCACCACCCGCTCCTCTAAAGTGTGACTGGGGTCAGGCTCAACAAACCTGATTAGGATTAGAGGCACAGATGGGAGTGAAAACATTGATGTTTCAAAATCTGGCATAAAGACTAACACAAATTAGAATTTGCATATAAAATGATAAGCAGTTCTTAATCCTGTATGACATCACTTCACTTAAAAGTGATTGGTCCATTTGGTTGATTTCTAATGAAATCATGTCTTTTGTGCAATAAAAGATGTAAATCTGGATACCTCAGGCGGTCATGTTTTATGTCAGAAACTGACAGCGTATGTTATACATCAAGGAGGACATTGCATTACGTATTCCACGTTATAGACTACACCAGCATTAATCCCAAATGCCCTCCAGGCGTCTGTGCCAAAATCTGCATGTCAGAGATAAAATATTAGTGTTCAATTCAGAAAACCAGAGGGGGGGATGATTTGAGAAAACCCAGATGAGGGGGAAGTTTTCCATGAAGGATCAGCCATGAGGTATCCTGATCAGGCACAATACTGTCAGGTCTTCAACGCTGTGTGACATTACTTACCTCCCACCACCGGAGGGGGCTGGTGAATTTATGGCTTGAACCATGTCTGTGGTGAGGGCATCTAACAAGCTTGTAATGAATTCCACTTTCTTCCCCTCTGGGCAGCCTGGCACAAATCAAAGACAAGAATACACCAAATTTACCTTCCAAGTAATTTGAGTCGTTACGGCACAGTGAGGCTGAAGTGCCACCAAAGCCTCGACACCAGTGAACCAGAGCAACAGAAACCGTTACACAGTAAAATAAAGCATGCAAACCTTGTCCACAGCTTAATGACAAACCAGGTGTATCTGTCTGCTAATGTTCATGATTACTGCTGAACCAATAGAGGTGACATACATAGTTTGGCTGTTCTGTAAGTGCTCAGAAAAGCAGAGCTGAGGCACATGTCGAGAGGCGGAACAGAAGTGTGCGGTGATGAGAGTTGTGTTGAGCAGTGCAGACCTGTTAACTTTTATGACACAATTCTGAACACCTCTTTTTTAATTGCCCAGATGTATGCCTTTAATAGCACGCTAAACCAGTGCAAATTTTTCCCTCCTAATTGTGTCTCTTAAAGAGAAACTTCAAACGCAGCTGCATAGTAAACTAATCTTCTCATTCTTTTTTTCCCCCAGTCTCTCAGTCTTTCGCTCAAGCTTTCTCAGTCGATCCACTCCTCCCCTTTCTCCGAGCGTCCGTGGCCTCCTTGTTCTCTGCTCTGTTCATGTCTTTTCGTTCCCTTTGTGCCGGCTCAGGGGGTTCTGTGGGAGGTGGTCTGCTGCCGCCAGGTGAATCCAATTAGCATTTCCAGGACATGACAAGCTCTGAGCAGCACTGCCGTGCTGTGCCGTAATCCAAGTGTTAAATTGGGGTGTTATGAAGCGCAAACCGTTACGTTGTATGCCGCCTATGTGGCATGGTGTCAAGGGCACAGCGTGGTGCGGGACGTCTGGCAGCGTCCGACAGGCTCTGAGCCTCTTGGATTTGATCTTTAAACACATTAAACTCCGACACGGTCATCAAATTTGTTTTTGTTTTTTAAACCATTAAAAGAAAGCAAAGTTTAACTGTTGCACATCTTCACAGGTTGCATATGTTTATAACACGTGGGTGGTTCAAGTACAGAGATTATTCTGAATTATCTTTAAGGCCTGTAAGAGTTACAACTATTCATTTCACAAGAACAAAAGCAAATATAGAGAATAGCCAGAAATGATTAAGTACGTGTGTGCTGTTTTAGCACATTAATCAATCATCAACTAAACACAGCAAACATTTGTCGGGTTGGGATCACGACATTTGCTTCTAGGTCCAAACTCAATTCTGGAGCTAAGTTCCTACTTTTCTACTTACAGAAAAATGAATTAGAAACTTTTGTCCAGATAAAGCTGGGTTCACAAACATAATGATCTTTTCTCTCTTTATAAACTGATCACAAAGCAGCTGGTTTAGTCAACATTTAATCCCTGATATACTCTAAAACTGACATAGACAGGAGAGCAGACACACACACACACACACACAGCTGTTTGCATTTCTGCATTGGGTGTCTGCAAATGTGGATGTGTGTCACATCTGACTAACTTATTTGTTGATAGACTGGATGACATTGAACAAAAAAAACAGTTCCTGAACTGATTGAACTAGATGGTATCAGATCCGAGGCTTTGGTCTCGGGGGAGGAGCTCTTATCTGCCCTCCTGACAGAGGTGGTATTGTGCCACTTTGTGTGCAGTGGGATTGAACCTGTAGCTGCACGCTGTTAATAGACATTCTCCTCTCTTCTTGCCCTCATGTGACGACCATGAAGTGTTGTTGCTTTGTTGTGGCGGTTCAGAGCATCCCTCTCCAGTACATAAAAAATATCTCCACTCAGCACCCTGTGGTCTCCCAACACCCCCAGCAGCCCCCCCACAGCCGCACCAGCACACCCCGCAACACTCGCACTTTCCATAAAACATGTCACACATCTGCTGCACAGTCAGGAGTCATGCTCGACTCTGTAAACTCACCAGATGGAGTTACAATGCAACCTTAAAGAATGGGGAAACACAGGGGCGGCTAAAGTAAGTGAGCAGTAACAAGGGCAGAGGAGTATGAGTCGAGGTTTCGACCTCTGGTCTCTGATCTTTGCTGCCAGTGAATCCAACAGCAGAAAGTGTGCGTTAGACCATTCTTAATCCAAACCCTCAATCTGGTCAGTTTGTGTGTCAGCTTTGGATTCCTCCACATGCTGAAGCTGTACTAAAAGAGATGGACATATATACACTTTTTAAAAAGCGTTTCCAAAATAGAAAATTCGGAAGAAAAAGGTGTTTTGAAGTGGATTAACCAGCGTGAACCTCTGCTCTAACATCAGCTGCAAAAGTTAGCATGTCTAGCTAAATAACCCACTACCTAAAATAGTCACCATCGTGTTAATTCCAGCCCCCCCCCCCCCCCCCCAGCCCCCCCAATTCAAAACTAGCACATCCGCTGTATGTTGATGCTATCAGTGTTTTAGGGTAACGTTGGCAGCTCTGTCCCGCTCTTAATTGGATTTGGAAAAAGTTTACACTCCAGCAACTTCAGCCAACATCGTTATCTGAGATAGCTTTTAGTTTGCCAAACACGTCTCCAAATCCACATCTTACAAAAATCTATTGTTGGGGGGTAAATGTGAAACATACAGTTTGAAAATGTGGACGATAAAGCATAAATTTAACCTTTTGTGTTTCTGGTCCAAGCGTATGTAAGCCCAGCAGGGTTGGCTAGAAATGACAAGCTGCTTTTGCCAAAAACCTACTAAGAATTTAGAAGGTTAATCTGCCCCAAAATATCGTAAACTGCATGTGTCGTGCGAGATCAGAAAGCTTGAAAGTCATAGCAACAGTAAAAAGAGCATTTGGCTTAGCAAACACCAGTAATGAACTGGATTTTTTTTCTCTAGGTCTCGTTATTATCATAACAAGGACTGCTATTGAATATTAAAGCTTCCTCATTTGTTAAAAAATAAGACAATAAAATGAATCCAATTCTGCAGTCCCCAAAGCCCCAAAATGTATTGAACTGCAGTGAAAAGTAAAAAAAAAAAAAAAAGAAACCTGTCAGCTCTCTGCCTTGGAAGGGATCTTCAGCGTCTGAGATGCGATATCGCGCAGCGCCGTCACACTCTGGCGTCTGGTACCTGTTACACAGAGAGGACATGGCTGCATGAGACAGAAGAAGGACAGAATAAACCTTTCTTAGCAATGTGTGAACAGCAAAAGCAAAACAGAGGCTCGTCCATGATGTCCAATTTGATCAGAGGGAAAAAAAGATTTAAAAAACCTTTTTATCTGAAGACAAAAACACAACAAAAGATTTTCCTTTCCAGGCCTCAGAACAATCTGAGCTGGAGTTTAAAACCAGGAGACATTATTGATGCCGGAGAAATATCTTTGTCCATCCTCATTATGAAAACATGCTCTCTTAATCTCTTCATTGCAAGGATCTTTACGCATTCGCACCGTTCTGGCTTCATGAAACTACTGTACAACCTACTGCTGTTTAATCTGTGTATTCACTGTTGATCTGCAAAGAATTATTGACAGTGATTAGCTTCTCTAAATTTGATTTGACATGCACAAAGAGTTGTTTCAGAGTCATAACAAACTGCTCGGCATTATGCATGACTCGTTTTCTCCTGGCCGTTGTATCAGTGGTTCTTGCAGACATGTAGGATGGAAAATTGAGCATGTGTGTCTCGTTTGCCTTTCTTTTTTCTTTTCTATTTTTTTCAAAGTAAAAGCAAGTTGTCATTTCCTTTTTCAGTCTGCAGAGCCACTGATCCAAGAAGGGATGTCTGATGCATGAGTATGCACATTTCTGTCCAGAAGAAAGAAATTCAGAAGAGTGACATGAGGTCTAGACCAAAAAAAAAAATTCTTATGTGAAGAAATAATCGCCTCAAGGGTGTCATTCAATATCTCTGAAATGCGGATGAGAATTTGGTCTGTGTAAGTGATATATTTGAGTATTTTTGGGGGCTTTCAATAACAAATACACGTTTATTTATTGATTTAGAAGTAAACCTGCATTGTCCTGTATTCAAAATATAGTAAGACCACAAACCAACTCTCTCTGATAGTCTGTGCCTCATCCTGTAAAACATAAACCCTCTTGTAGTGAGAGAATGATGATGCCTCTTCTCAAACAAAAACAGCTCATCTATTTACCGGTGCATGCCGACAGTTTTTTTTAAACATCCAATCTCGTTCCCTTTATCCGTCACTGTGTTTCAAGCTGTAATGGTCACGTTCCAGATACAATTCATGAAAGGTTTTTAAACAACCAAAACATGAGCAATGGGCATCACCATTGTTCACAATTGCCATTGAAAATAGATTTTAGCCGTTAGCTGAAGTCGGTCCACAATTTTTGTCAAGACTGAAATATATCAACAACTATTAGATGGATTGCTATGAAGTTTGGTACAGGTATCCATGATGCCAAGAGGATGAATCCTAGTTACTTTGGCTATTCCCTGATCTTTCCACTAGCTCCACCGGAAGGTCAAACTTTCTTCCATTTTAAATATCTCAATACCTGTGAAATGAACTGGCACGAGATTTTCAGACATTCATGGTTCCCAGTGGATGAACCCTACTGACTTTGGTAAATAATTTACTTTTACTCTGGCGCCAACAAGAGATTCACAATTGTTGTTTTGAGTGTAATGTTTCTTAAGTGGATTGCCATTAAATTAGTCACAAAATCCATGTTCCCCTCCGGGTTCATTCTAATGACTTTGATGATCCCTTAACTTTTCATGTTGCACAATCATCAGGAATAAAAAATAAAATAAAATTCCCATCTACCTTAGCTGTAATCTGTGTTTAGTGCTAATTAGATAATGTTAGCATGCTAACACACAAAATTAAGATGGTCACAACCTATTGTGAGCATTGTTAGCATTCTGATGTTAGCATTTAGCTTTGAGAAACACACTTCAGTAAAGCCTCATAGAGCTGCCATAGTTGTAGACTCTTAGTCGTAGTTAAAATAAAATTCACAGAGTTAAAATGAGAGACTCCTTAAAACTACTGTGCCTATTGTATGTAGTAACCACACTTTAATTGAAAGTATTCAGTCTTGCTTGATTTCAGTTAAAGTTAAGAGATTTTTATAATAAAGGATATTACCTGGTGGAGGTTCCAGGAATGGGCCGTCCCGTGTCCACCAGAACACACCAGCAGTAGCCTGTGGACTGGTGGCACTGGACCGGTTTGTAAAGGCCTCCGAGACCGCAGTCGGGAATGAAAATGGCCTCGCGAGGATTCTGCCGAGCCTCGTCCAGTGCACTCTGTCGCTCCTGGTCACAAGAGGGAACTTTCTCTAAAACCATGAGAAACACACTCAATACAGAGGCACCACAATCAGGAAACCAGAAACACACAAAAAGATAAGGCAGAAGCTATAAGCACCCAGGTGTCGGTATCCAACAATGCTATTTGCACCCAACTCGGGCACACATGAGATACTGTATGCATATATGTAGCCTACTGTAGGCTATGTATATTTTTTCTAAACCTAAAACCTGAAACCTACTTCCTACACATACTTTGCCACTCTTAAATGCTGCTATCATATTCAACTTGACTGGATGTAAATAGACAGTTTGTGTTGGATAAGATTAAAGAATGTAGACAACCAAGGCGTTTATACGTAAACCTGATTCAGGGTAATCATGTCAAGCAAAAAAATCATTTATAGTGGTATGCTTCTGTATGTTTTGCTTGGTGTAAGTCACTATTTGGAGCTAACATCATGATTTCAATCCTTTGTTTGTGATTGGCCAGCTACTCGTTTGTAAAAGGCGTACTTCAGGTCACTTTATAGAGCAACTTGACCATATTTAGGGCTTTCTATTGGCCCATGATGTAACTGACTGTCAGGCATCATCCACCGCATTGTTAAACAATGTTAAATGTGGCTATTTTGAGCATGCACGTTAACTATTGGCCTTGGGAATACTGTAGCAATTTGAGATAAAAATCTTAACTCACGGTCCTCTTACAAGCTTTTCTGTAGCTCAGTAGAAAGATACAACTATATACAACAACATGTTATCACATCCTGAAGCTCATTAGAGCCATTTAGTAGCCATTTGTGCCAGTAGCTCACACAATCCAAGTAACGAAAGCATAACTAGTGCAGTACGTCACAGTTGCTTGGAGCTGCTAGCTTGTTTTCCCGCTGCTAGCGGTAGCAACATGGCTACCGCTAGCAGCCTGGTTTAATGTCCAAAGCAAGAAACAGCTGTAAGAATTTGAAGTTATATACATTTTGCATCGGCGGCTCTCGAGGCTTCATTTTCCCGGAAGGTCGAGACCCTGTGGCTGACATAATTACATGGTGAAAGCCGGACTTAAAGGGAACCGATCTAAACGTCGATGGTGTCATTATTCTAAGCCTTTACATTGTGCAATCAACATTTACTTCATAAAAATGATAAAGTTAAAACTTGTCTATTGCATATTGTTTAATTGTCTATTAAACACTGAATCAAATTGCTACATGTGTGTGAAAGGGGTTGGCATATATATATATATATATATATATATATATATATGAATTAGGATGAAGATGATGGTGGTGGCAGGTTCAGCAGACCTGAGGAGGTTGGGAAGTATGTGTGTGTGTTCATGTTTCCTGAGCATGGCTGCCAACAGAGAACTAAACGTGTGCCTACACCAAAGACGTTTTTCTCCTGCGAAGACTCACACTCAAGTGCTCTTAGCGCTGTGCCGTGGCTCTGGTCCTCGCCAAGGTTCCTTCACATCCAAATTATTTAGCAGTGTTTATTATACAGAGGTTATGCTGGCGCCAGACGCTAGGAATCCCAAAAGAAAATTGTTTTCATACATATAAATGGAAAGTGGCTGGACGCTGGTAATGTAGTCCTCTCAGTTTTGTGTGGAGTTGAAATTGAATCTACGACTTCTTTGCCTGCCTTGGATATCCGCATTTCTGTTCTATTTATTTTTTTATTTTTTTGTTTCTTTTTCAATTGTATTTCTCTTCCCTTGGCAGGAAACGAATGATTAGAAACACAAACCCTCAGAAAACAAATATTGTCCTGAAAAACAAAAGGGAGCCCACACAAGTGGATGTCAGGAACTCGTTGTTGTGGTAACCTTTCTTCAGGGCAAACTGATAATGGACAAAAGATGAACATCTGCAGTATCTTTGATGAGTTCAGACTTATTTCAAGTCTTTCACTTTGGCCCTCGTCATCCAGACTCCAAACCAAGACTATTTTAAAATCGTCTTCTCTTTTTTAAATTTCTTTGTGTCTTTCTTTATGATACACATTTTATCATTCTTCCAATCCCTTCCTCCCAACTCTCTAAGCGTTTGTGTCTCCTGCCTTCACTTTCCTTTTCTTTTTCTTTCTCTCTCTGCTTCTCTCTATCCTAATACCTCCCTCTCTGGACCCACCCCCACCCCACCCGGAGCTCTCTCCTCTTCACTTCACTCCAATGGCTTTCAGCTGTGGGGTAATCACTGCAATACTGTCTATAGCAAACCCTCTCTGCAGTTAAAATAGCGGAAGTATTAGTAACAGGGGAACTCTGTGAGTGGGTATGTAGGTGCATGTGTGTTTATGACCTAAAGGGAAACAAAACCAGAGATGATGGAGAGTTCACTCATAAAATGATTACGTCATTTTGAACACAGTTGTCTTTCTTTTCAACACATCATTCGTTAGCTTGTTTGGTACCAACGTGTTACTGTCATCGCTTATCGTGCTGAAAAGTAAAACGGTTCAAGCCGCCTTAAACCTAATAGTATTTAAATAAAGATAAAAATCCCTTTTTAAGACTGCAGATTTTTATTGAAAATCATGCTCGCCGCAAGGGGGGGGGGGGGTAGCGAGTTTCTGGTTCTCCCCACACTTTTATAAGTGAGCTGCCCGACAAAGCGCTTCCCCCTCTTTACAGCATTGGAACAACAGCATGTCAAAGTCTGGCAACAAGGCATCCTTTTGAAAAATGATCTTTGCATCGCTTTGCCCAAGCAAACACGTTTCACTAACACAATCTCCGCATTACTTTAAATCATAATTATGGGGTGTCCAGAAAGCCAGTAAATTAAATAAGGTAGTTTGTGTGCACAGAGGGGGGCGGCCTTCTCAGTACTCAGGTTTTCCAGCGTGTAGGGAGAAAAATACTGTAAATATATATATCACAGGAAAGTTTCTGTGACTAGAATGTTTTCAAATCAGATGAGAATGCAAAGAAAGTACCCGGGTAGGGAGAGCAGGAAAGAAAGGACAAAAGAAAGAATGTATTATATTAGTGATATGTTCAGGTTATCTTATGTTGGATGGGAAATGTGAATCTTTGAAGTAACTACTGTAGTAACTAGAGCTATCATAAATTACTGGACTGGAAATGTAGTGGAGAAAAAGTAGAGAGGTCTATCAAAATGTATAATGCTTAAGTACAATAACATCCTAACTTAGTGCAATACTTAGCTGTTGTTTATTACTGCCAAACTCTGAAACACACTCGGGAACACGCGTACATTCACACACATTCTTTCACTAACACACAAATATTCACAGACACAGGCGTTGAATCTCCTTTTGATACACACATCCAAAATCACACACACACACACACACACACACATACTGTATGCAATCACATACAGATGCAGTGGCAGACACACACATTGCTCATATTTCTCTCAAACATGATGACATGTCCCCCTCAGTCAGCCTCGTCGCTCGTACTCGGAGGACACCGGATGCTAATTGGAAACAGGAAACTCGTGTTTCCACAGAAGATTCAAAGAGCTGTCACAGTGAATCTCTCATCTAAAATACAATCTTTAATGCTGCCCTGAATATAGTTTCCCCCGCCACATCGCCATCATTCTAAAGGCCCATACCACAATCAGCTTTTCGTGTACCCTATTGTGTGGTAGAGAGATCAATTTGCATCGTAACATATAACGTGCAGACAAGGTGGATATGTTTATTCAAAATATTCATATCTGCAGATGCTGATAAACATGAAGCTTGACCAATGTGTTTGAAGACTAATCTACTATAACACATTGATGCTGGTGACACAACATTTGATTGAGAATAACTATTTTGCTCATTTTCAAAAACCTGTGTATCCTCAGAAAACATCGGTAAAATAAAAAAATGATTAGCCTTAACTGTGGGACTCTAAAACAATTCACCACACCGCCTTAGTGGCAAGTTAGAAGACGAAACACAACAGAACACTGACGTGAATAAATTAACTTGAAAATTAAAAAAAAGATGCACATTCTGCAGACGTTTTAATAAAAGACAAACATCAATCGATATAACGGCTAACCAATGTGTCCACACACACACGCACACACACACACACACACACACACACACTCCCCCCATCACATTCACTCACTGACTTGCTGCAGAAGCGCGAAAGGCATCCAGCTGCCCAGAGGGTAGTAAACATGCCGAGACGTAATTGAAAAGGAGACAGAGAGCTAAACAAATTACACCGAAGGAAAGAAAACAAGAAACATAATACCGGCAGCACAGCGCTGTCCTCAAACTGTTTTACATTTGATCTTAAACTAGTGGCTTTGAAACCGGTTACACCGGAGACGAGTTGATACTTTCACTGTGTTGACTATAGTTAGGGTTTAGCCTACTTTTTTGGTGTAGTTTTCATCTTCGATATCAATATGAGGCTAATAATTGTATCCTGAAAAACAGTGCATGGGTGATATTTGAGTGGGTGGAAGGAGAGGTGGGTGTAGCAGTGATATGTTAAGGGATGTGATCCCTCACTGGCCTCCCACACGCTAAACTTCCACTTGTGTTTGATACGGCTCTCTTTTGGCAATCTGTGGGTACTGCGTTGACAGTGACTTGATGTCCTATTGTTCTATACCATTTTCAAGTGTTATTAAAGATTCATATCAAGGAAGAATTAATGCGTAAAGGTCTCAGAATAAGGATGAGTTTCTTTGTCTCACCTTGCTTCCTGGAAGTGGAGCTGTTCTGCTTATTCTCCTTATAAACCAGCTGTTTTATCCACAGCGTTGGAGCAGTTATCTCTGCAATGACAGGATGACAGAGGACAGATCAATAACTTCCATACTTTTAGATGATCGTCACAGAATGTACCACAGCTAAGCTTTATTTAGCCACGATCCGGCAGTAGCTCACTAGCACAGCCAAGCTTTGCCCACAAAACCAAAATTGAAATTGCAGTCAAGATCCCAGCTTTTCCAAAAACATCAAATATGTCATCTGGTATTTTCAACAGCTGGAGTTTTCCATTTAATATAACAGGGCATTCTTAAGAGATGGCGTCTTGAGTTTGAATGTTAAAATCTTGACTCACTGCAGCTTCGCTGAGGTGTCAGAATAATCTGAGGATCAACAGGTTTAAAGTACATAAAGGAGAACCCTGGTGAGCCGAAACGCTGTGACAACATCCTATGCACCTCAGCGAACTAAGGGACGATCTTAGCACCGAGTTACAGGTGGAGGAGTAATAACAGCAGACTTACCGTCACCCTCAGGGGGGACGTGAGTCTCCATTGTGGGTGTGGGCTTGGAGCCATCATCTGGGTTGAGGGTGAGAAAGAAACGGAAAGAGACTACCATTATTGAGGTTAATACAATCTACTCTCCAGAACTGTTGAATGGTTGGGATTTGCACATGGCCCGGCCAAGTCAGATAGAAAAACAGACAGAGAGAGAGAGAGAGAGAGAGACAGATAGAATAATAGAAGAACGATCATCCACATGTAGCTCCACATCTCTCACATACACATGAATCAACTTCTCGCACTGACACACTCACAACACCAACATGATCAGGCTGCACATTCAGCACACTTCCTCACAATCACACTGTAAACTACACATGCATACGCTCACATACACACACATGAGGGGACCACCCTCCTCATCACAGGACCTGCATGAGTGCAGTGCAGGTGTAGCTCACTCACAACCAATCCAAACAGAGGTGAACGGACCTCTGAACAATGGAAGGAGTGTGAAGAAGAGTGAACTTCTTTCTTGAGTTTCAAAATAAGATGATGCGGATGTTGATTCGGTCCGTCGTCTGATTGGTTGGTCTGCACAAAAACGCTCATCCGGTGTATGAAGTGACGTTGGGCAATGATACTGGTGGTCCTCTAAGGGTAATTTCCAATGAGTGACGATCTGATCATTATTCTGGCTCCACCCCAAAAATCACCCTCGAACTCACTCAATGGTCCATGAGAAGCATCTCATATTGACATGTCCGCATTTTGCCTAAATTTGTTCTCGATATTCATGTCATTCGAAATAAAACTATTTTCGGTTTTCCCCCGGATGAACACATGATTACCTCATGGTCTTTCCTTCAGCATCACCCTCAGGATAAACCTGATCCTGATTCAGGTGTGTTTCTAGCATATGCAGCAATAGATGAATATTATATACTCTCAAGAAAAGCACCAACAAGCGTTCTAGCAGTACCTCTTTAATACAGAGGTTCTCGGTTCGATTTGGCCACATGCTAACCACATAACGTACTAACCACATAGTGTATAAAACAGTAGTATTTTTAAAGATCACTGTATCACCATATTTACGACTATTCATCACAATTCAAATGAATGAATCCCTCCCAAGTTTCTTTGCTCCCAGGCTGAATAATTTATCATTCTCTTTCGCGATGACCACAATATTGCAATACTGCCCTATTGACAAGCCAACCACAGGAGATGACGAGCAACGGCCGCAACCACTGTGTTCACGTTTTAAATTTTTGTAATTCTTGCATCGGATACACCGCATGTTTACACTATGCTACAAACGGCAGCAGCGTGATGAGTTGCAGAGCGTCTTCTGAACTTTCTTTCCCTTCTGCGTTCTGTATTTAACAAAAAACAAGCGTTGAGTTGTTGGAAAAGTGTCATCTTTGTCATTTAAAAAGCAACAATATATCTAATAATAGCCTAACAATAATGCCTATTTAAATTGCTCTAAACTCAGGATAAATGCACAAGAATAAATATAAATGAGGCAATAATATCGCATATAGAGCTGTTGAGCCAATCATGACGGCGCAGAAATTACTTCACCGCGACAGCCCTACTTTCAAGTATTTAACATTTTCAAATTATAGTGTTGTCTCAATAAATATTCTCATTTTGGCACCCAAAACTTGTTTACAAGTTACTATGAAGTGGTCTTAATCTGTTAGTTTACATATGTGTCACTACATATTGATAAAATGTGTTTACAAACCAGTTAACAGCATATTCTCACTGTTCTAACATTTTTCCACAGCTGTCATACTGTATGAGAAAAAGGAAATATCCTAATACCATTAAATGTGTGATAGTTGCTACTGTATCTTTTGATCCCAGTGTAACAAGAACAAACATTTGTGGTGTTTGGCACTCACACACGTAGGATGACACAAGTGAATGAAAACTGTTCATATTCAGTAACAAGGTTGAGTTTTGCTATCAGACAAAAAAAAATATTCAGTCAAATTTGATTTAAAAATGGCCCATGCATTACATTTTACAGTGTAGCACAGGACAGAAGAGTCAATGTCCTATTTAAGAAATCGATAAGTTGTAATGGATCTGAGATAATGCTGTGAATTCAGCTACCGAGAATACTCACCCATGTGCAGTGTCGTAGCATCTGGAAAATTCCTTAGGAAGTAATGTGATCAACAGCAAACCACAGAGAACTGGAGTCATTCTACAAACACTAAAGTCCTTAAATCAGAAGGACAAACTGACCTGACCTGGTCAAACTGTGAACAACAAAATACAGCGGTTACTGCGTTGGTCTCAGACAAGTGCAAACCTGGGTCAAACGCTAGTCAGAAAGAAGCACCAGTATTTGTTTGATCTTGTTTTTTACACTTCCTAAAATTTCCAATTTCGATGTAGACTGAGCTGCATGTTAAAACAAATTCTGTAACTTACAGTATTTGTCAATTATTGTTTGATCCAGGTCTGGACTGTGAGCTACAAACTGCTAGGGGGGGGGGGGAAACAATTAATGGAAGCATCGACAGCAAACCCTTAAGTTGACCTCAACAAGAACTCTCTCCTGTATAGAACAACATCCCGGTTTGGAAACAACTAAAGTGCTTAATAATAAAGAAACCCTGAGAGGCTGTCCATCTCTTCTGGGTTTAAAAAGAATCTTTGCATTAGTTTTCACTTCAGTTTTGTTCAATTGATTGAATTACTTTGATGAAACCACATGAAAGCTGTAGAACTACATTCATTCTATATAATTTCTATAATTTAACAACAGATCCAATATGAAGGTAAGGCTTTCATGCCAAAGAAAAAAATGCTAGTTTTAAGATGTATTATTTAGCTATAAAGAGCATTTAAATCCAAATCCACGAAGTAAAACATCAGTCATGTACCTTTCTGCTCTGCACAAATATGGACTTTGCACGGATCAGACGGAACAAAACCAGGTCAAAAGATATTTTGAACTCTTTCTGTGTCTTTCATACAAATGGAAACACTCGCACGCATGCACACACAGACTTACAGCAGATCTCAGCTCACCTTTTCTACCAGAGTTCGGTGGCCCGGGTGGTCTATCGGTTACTGACCCTGTAAAGAAAGAAAGAAAAAAAAAACACATAACATGTACAAAGCAAAGACTAGACAGCAGCAACAACTCCTGTGGAACATTTAAAGACTTTGATTCCAAAATGCTGTTTATCCATTTTAGAAACAAAAAGAAACACTTAAAATGTAAATGTGATTGTTCCAACTAAACAGAAAAACTCTCACGCTTTACCCAACCCACTGACATCTTGACTTAGTTAGACAACGTTTGCTGATTATATTCTGTTAGTACATGATAGCAGGCACACATTGAAACATTGCGTTATTTTATTGCTGACTAATGCAAACCTGTGTGATCTGCACCATCTGTGGATATGCAGTAAAATTAAGGAGTACATTTGCAAATATCATTCTGGTTTGGCGCATGCAAGCAGTCATGCATGCATGGATGCACGTGGGGGGGAAATGATTAGACAGTGCAACCAATTACAATGAACGGGCAAAGTGGAGACATTTTGAGTAAAGGCAACTGGAAGGAAATTTACTACCTGACAATCCACTTGTCCCAGCATGAGTTCCCATAAATTCACGGAAGTTTCCTGCAAATGTATGTGAGATGATTGATTTGGGTCATAGTTTACGGGGGCATCTGAGCATGTCAGTAAAGGTTATTTGTTGGGTAGGTACGACTGTAGCAGCTGTATACAGGTTCAGGTTCACTGTGCCCAGATTCTGGTCCCAGTGTCATACATACCTTTGCAAGAAACAATGAAGATATTGGATCTTATGCAGGACAGAAAGGAGACTGCTGGAGACATTGTTGTTCCATAAACTACATTTCAGAATTTCATCAACTTTATTTAAACCTGGACAACTGAAATTGATAGTGCTGATGGAGGGCAGGAAAAATTCACTGAAGTTATTAATTTCTTCATGAAATATGTGTTTTTTTTTAATACATTAGGACTGCTTTTCTTTATCTATTAATCTGCAGATTGTTAAGAATTTGGATGGTCTTTGTCAAAACTAGTGAAAAACAGCCATCACAACTTGCCCAAAATGACGTCTTAAGAGTGCTTAATTTGTTGAAGCAATGTTCCAAAACCTAAAGTTATTTAATTTACCATCACATATGAGAAAAGCTGCCTATTATTCCTACATTTAAGAAGCTTGAACCAATAGACGTTTACCGTTTTTGCTTGAAAAATTACTGAAACGATTCATGGATTAATTCATTTACAGAGTGTTAATATGAACAAGCCTGGTTGTTTTTCCACCAATACCAAATAGACATTAGGGTCCTGTTGTGCACAGAAGAGTAAATGGGAAAAGCAGTGTGGAGTTTTTTTTTGTTTTTTTTTGTATGAATGGATACGCAACCATGCTCCATTTACTGATTCTATTGAAAAGACTGCAACTCAGCAGGTGCCAAGAGAAACCATACAGGTGATTAGTGGCACAAGTGGGGAAATGCAGAGAGAAGGAGGCAGAGAGAGGGAGATGAGGAAATTGAGGGAGGATAAGACGGAGGCAGCGGGAAGCCTCTGGCGGTCTGTTGAGCAGCTTCAGAGGGGCATGCGACCGCTCTCACCACACTCTCCACACAAAATTTGCACCATATGCTCTTGTGGCTGTGCAATCCAATTCTGGCAAAGACCCCTGTGTATTATCTTCTGAGGGAAAATGATGGTGATTATCATAAAGTGTTCCCATCCAGGATGAGTGTTCAGAGCGCCACTCCCTCTCCTCCGGCCTGCTGAGAGCAGTTAGACGACGGGGGGGGGGGGGGCGGGAGGCCCCTGGATGTATGGCCATTAGCCTTCTCATTGACCCTGCACCTGCTGTATACCACATGACATGTAATACACATGTGCCCACAGTATGCAAGACAGACCCTCTTTAACTGTAACCCAAAGGCCCAGACATAGGTTCTGCCTCGAATGCACCGCATCCATTCTGATTCTTTTGTTTGATAAGAAACTGAAGCCTATATATTAAAAACATTTGTATTTGAATTGTGCCAAAAACTCCAATTCCTAAAGTGACTGAAAGATAATTGGCTCAAACCTCAGTGACTTGGCTTCCAAGCACTGCTGGCTCCAACATCTTACAAAGGCAGCCACCATTGAAACATTTTAAATGCTCGTTATGCTGCCCCTCCCCCCCTAATAAAGAACTATCGGGAAACATCCAACCCTTCTACAGGAGTTTAAGTCATACAACCTGTTAGACATTACTCTGAAGTAGAGCTGACCTGTTTGCACAAATAACTCTAATCACCAACGTGAGCAGTGCCGAGGCAGAACAGATGCAAGCTGTGTTGCCGATGTTAAGATGAGATTCTTATGACAAACATTTCATCCACAGGTTGCCGGGCTTGTTTCCCCCCCCCTCCCCCAGTACCTGAACACACCGGGGTCCTGTTATGCACAGAGGAGCCACTCACTGGCTTGCCATCACTGGTGACACACCAGCAGTAACCTGTCAGAGTATGGCACTGGACCTGCATATGCAAAAAGGTAAAACACACTGAGAGCTTTGTAACATACATGATGTAGTTGGTGTATTTAACAGAAGGTGAAGAGCACAATAGACATTTTCTATTTAAGTGAAGTGAAACTGATCTCTTGGGTGATGTGAAGGGGAGAGTTCACGAGAGACTGTTGGTAAAGTGAAGGATAAAGAGGAAGAAAAACTGTGGAGGTAGCGAGACAGACCTGAGCAAATGTTCCATCCTCGTTGCATTCTGGGATAAACATGGACTCTTGAGGTCTCCTGGCTTGTTCCAAAGCCTGGTTCCTCTCAACGCGACACTTGGACTGACCTGCATCTGTAACAGATTAACAGGACAGCCCGCTCTCACACACTGTATACAAACACCACTGCTGTTGTGTTTTCACTGAAGACGTGTGTTCTGTGTCAACAACACCCCGTTCACACCTTGGGAGGAGCTGACCAGTGCGACCACAGTTTACTACTGTTGGCCACTGAGCGCCGTCTGATGTTTGAGTGCCTTGCTCAAGGACACCTTTGTGATGGACATAAAGTGAGAGGAGCATTATTTATTCACTCATTTTAAATTCTCCTTCCAAACCACATTGTTAGTGCTGAGGAGTGCGTCATGGACTCCACACTGATATTTAGAAATGTCAGTGGAAACTGAGTGACTGACTGTGTTCCTGCTCTCAGGGGACGCAGATGGAAGTGGCTGAAAGGTCAGAGACTGAAGTGGGCTCGACACCAGCTGGTCACTGGTTCAAAATCCCGTCAGTAACTACTGTTTATATTGCACTCACAGCTCCTGTAGAGTTGAGCTTCATGTTCAGCCGTTCGTGTATACACGCTCACACCGGGGGGCTGACCGGTGCGACCGCAGCCCTCCACTTTTGGCAAACATTCTCCCTGCATAAATAAAAGTTTTAAAAAAAACGTGTCTCTGGACCTGAAAGGAGACAGACATGTTGTCTCCTCCAGAGTCAAAGACTGACAGAGCCAGAACTGGCTGATGAAGTCACCGAAGAGGACAGACGTACATTCAGTCTTACTTTAGAAAGACGCTTATTAAACTTTGTGGCGCTTGTGTCGTTTAGAGAACAAGCTAAATCAGTCCAATGTCCTACGGAAGACCTCAATAAATCATTTAAATAAGTCTGTGCTTTTAAGTTGTGACGAGACAGAAATAACCGAACATCCAAAGGTTTGTTTCTTTATTTATTTCTGTTGTAAGGAGAGTTTGATTGACTGCCAAACACATACTATATAACCTGGCTGAAGAAAACCTTCACTTTATAATCACTTTGTGTTTGAATAATGAGCTGTTTCTTGATGATTGACAGCTAAACAATGAACAAGCAGGTCTGCCTGTTGTAATAGGCGTAGCTATGTGTTTGTAGTTGTTTTGCTGTAATTTATACCTCTTGTAGTCACATTTATCAGTTGTGTTTTCATCTGAATCTCACGCATACCTCAATAGGCGTTCGTCAGGCATTTGTTCATGAGCTGCCTGCCTAAATAAAGCAACAGTTTCACTACAACAAAACAGGCCTGCCGCGTCTACAAAGACTGTGAGCTTTGCCCAGCTCTCCTTTCCTTGGCACACCGCTGTTATTATGAAACAAAACCTTGTATTAGCATACAGAGAGAACAAAATTCACTCCAAACATGGATTTGGTGGGGAATGCTGTTTTCCTAATGGACAGTGGGGCTGAGAAAGAAAAAAAAAAAAAAAAAAGGGAGGAAATGCCAGGTTCCAACCTTGACTCTAGACCTATCAATCTCTGCTGTGGTTGAGTGGCTGGCATCCAGAAACTGAGGAAGTGTGTGATCCTGGTCTGTAAAGACTTACACGCCTACAGCGAGGCGGAAAATGAAAGACATCTTCAGTTCAGTTCCACTTTAGACATCTCCTCTTCAGTTCTACTTTTCTGTCTGGGTGCGTTCACTCAAAGCTGCAGCAGCTTTCGTCTCAAGTAAGCCAGTGCATTGCTTTCTAAGTTTACAATACATAGTGTCAGATTTAGTGCTGTCTTTGCTACAGAGGACAGTCTTACCATTTGAGCTCCATCTCCTCGTTTGTAGACCTGGTGATCAGATTCAAAAGGTGTTTAGTGGCCTTACCTTTGAGCTCCAGGTCTCTCGTCTCAGATGTGGAAGTTGGTGCCGGAGCCACCGGCAACTGATCGATTATCACCCAATTTTTGCCTGAAACACAGAAAAGTCACTTGAAGCTTTGTGGGGTCGTGGCATGGTTAAGGGATGCTAGCATGCAACTGGCAACTGTGTTGTAAATCAAACCAATATTTTTAGTCAGTTTTTCTTAGGAACCTTTCCGTTGGCCATAGAGGCAGGAGCAGGCAATATGGCGTTATAATAAGTATTTATCCATCATTCACCCCTAATTGGAATCCTCTTTTCCATTCATCGCAGTATGTTTTGTAAAAGACTAAATTATATATTTCATCTTTCCAAGTTATATTACTGTCAAGTAGTGCTGCAGTTGTAGGCACAGACTGTTTAGAAAATCCTTGTTAGTGCATTCATGGAAACAATGTGCAAACATGCACGTCATGAAAATGTTAATAGTTTCTAGCATTAAAAAGTCACAGATGACTCACAAATCTGAGTTTCCTTGAATGCACCCTGACAAATTACTCCACCTGCAGCTAGATTTCTTGATGCACTGGCGTCAAGTGAAAACCAGAGTTCAATCCTCACCTCGACACCGGCCGCGGTGTGCCAGTGTCAGTGTTTTATCTTTGCAGCGCGCCCTCTGCAGTTCACAGCCGGTCTCATAGCTCCGGCCGTCCGAGCCGCACACCGGCTTCCCCTGCGTCCGAGAGCAGATGACCCCACAGTGACTGTCCCTGTCTCCGATCAGCCACTGCAATAAGAAATACTCACTTAAGGTTTCACATAACACAAGAGTTGCGTCTGAAAGATATTGAGCTGTTTCCACACAGAACTGCTTTCCTTTTGACTCCGTTACGTTCTTTCTAGTTTCACCGTGTTTGAACAAAGGCTGCATTCAGCTGAATCTGAGATTATGCCAAACTAACGTACAAATTGGACACATGGGTCACTTGCCCATTTTGCTCAAAACATTTCTTTCCTCCTCAAGCACTTGACGGGCGCTGCCCTTCTTTGTTTAGGCTACTGTAACGAGGGTGTGAGGGGCTCTGCTCTGAAGCTCAACCTAGAGGCTAGTTTATGTAATTGATCTTTGGCTGAAGACAGTTTGAACCTTGATTAAGTTTCAAAGGAGCCAAACCACATTCAGAGCAATGGGAGTCCTTCTCCCTCTCTCCCCAGGTCTTTACTCATGATCTATTAGTGAGTCGGTTCTACTCTGCCGTTGGAAGTCGGCCTTCTCTCTGACAGCAGTGATGGGTCTTGGCTTTGCAGCTGCCCTTAAATATATTTAAGGTCTAAAGGATTTCAGGGGAGCACAAACTTTACCAGGAAGATGGAGTTGTGGGTTAGTGAGGAGAGAGAGTAGGTGTGTAGTGAGGAGCACCAGAATCCTCTGCAGTGAAATGTGTTCCAGCAGCGTACCTGAGCCAACTCTTGTTGAAAATGTTTCAACTATTTGAAATAACACCAGGAGCTCTTGATTAGTTCTTCATTTCTCGCATGTAATGATTAAACTGTGTGGGCTGCTCAAACACCTGTTTCGAAAAAGACCACAAAAGAAAAGAATTTAACAATTCTCAAGTAGGGACGTGCATGTGAAAACCTTTCTCAAATGCAGTTTTGACCCAAGGTCTCTCAAAGCAATCAGCATAGTGTTGGTTGGAGCTCCTGATCCGACACAGGAGATGTCATTAGGGGCAGGTATGGATGGAAGAAGGTGATGGAAAATAAAACGCAGCCAGAAACAAGAGGCACAGTTTCTATCCTTCACTTGCCAACTCCTATCAGACGATCTTTTCAAAACGATCCACAGTACAAATGCGTGTGTGGAGCTTGCATGTATACAAGCACAACTTTAATTCTCCCTCTCCCCCCCCCCTCATCCCAATGCCCCTCTGTATTTTGAATAACATCAAAATTGTTGCTTGGAGACAGATTTTCTCCAAACATAGAAAGAGCAATCAGACGGACCTGAACAAAGTGTAGATGGTAACGAAGCCAAACCACTGATGTCATGAATGAGCTGGTGTACAACTGGATCTCATATACAAATGAATCACCAGGAGTCTTCATCTTACTGCTCTAAACGGATTAACCGCATGCCAGTGTATTTTGACTCTGTCAATGCAGCACTGTGCGCCCATTTATGCCTTTGCGTTGGTATTATTATTATAAAAAGGCTCCAGAATCCGTCACAGCCAGCCTGTCTGAATTCTTTGCTCCTCTAACCATTCTGCTCCGTAGCGACTGCCAATTACATCATACTTTTAAGTATCCGCCAGTGACACTGTTCTTCTGGACAATTTGACTGTCACAGATCAGTGGACACTTGCACTAATCACCTATAATCTGCTCATTACTGAAGGAGTTCAGCTCAACGTGAACACTGTCTGAAAATCATTCTACTTAATATTTGAAAAAGTGTTTTAGGGTATGTCGTACACAAAAAAATAAATCGAACAATGCATGTTGCATACTATAAATAAGCAAAACTAAATTTCGATTTTTAATAAAAGAAACAACGTAAAAGGACTCCACAGCCATGCTCAACACTGAATGCTAAGGTATGATGTCTATGATGTTCACCATCTAATGCTAACATGCTAACATTTGGTAATTAAACGTAACACAAAGTACATCCGTGGTTGAAGGGAATGCCATTAGTTTTGCAGGTATTTGGTATTGGACAAATTAAAATTTTGACTTGCTGGTGACGTTAGATTTGTAGTCAGGGCAAAACCAAAGTCATTATAACTCATCTTGAGAAGAACATAAATGTCTGTCTTTTTGCAATTCTTCCATTTACTGTTGAGATATTCTCAAAGCCACAAATATGAACCGCATTGTGGCATGAAACGTCAGGCAATCACCAAAGTCATTATAATACATCCTCTGGGGGAACATGAACATCTGTTGAGATATTTTAGTTCAACCCTTAAACCTCTGGTATGGCTACAAATGATGAAGACTCCCTCAGCCACAGTGGCAGCACACTCTTACCACTTGAGTTTGATATTCTTTGTCACATTCTGGCTAATATGTCTCTCTATGATGACCTGGAAGTGTCACAGGAGTTTAAACTTGTTGTAGCACAAATTACAAATCCAAAATGTGGTGGACGTAAACGAGCCGCAGGTCAGAAAATAATCACTTTTTGGTTTTTTACTTTACTGTTACCAGAGAGTATCTGCCAGCGCTGACGGTTGTGACGGTCATGGACATTCTTTCCTAAATCCCAGCAACTTAATCAAAAACGGAGTCCAAAATTCATGAGGTGAACAATCTGCCAACTGGTGAGCTAATATCACCTGTGTTCAATGCAAATTAATTGGTTTGGATCATGTTCATATTAGTGAAGATTTTGGCCCTTTTTCAAGCTTGTTTTAGTCCTGAAACAGATGAAAACCTATTGGAAAGAATGTGGAATAATTTCACCCCATAGGCCATGTTTTTACAATTAAATATAACATTAGGTAGACTGGTTGGGAAGTGTTTTTGCCGTAGAGAAATTAGTATCGTGTCTGTCAGCTCAGGCAGGTACTTCATTATCTGTAAAGAGCAAAGAAAGAGATTAGACTTTTCCTGAAATAGAAAAAGACACTGGAGCTTCAGTATTTTCCAGATAAAATCAGGAGATGAGGTAACCGGGTGGTCCAGTGTTTTAAATAAAAAGTGTCCTGAACATACTGTAGAGGTTTACAGGTTTTTATCTCTACATAAAACAATATGTCTGTTAGAATATCCAAGTTCTGAGCACAGAGCGAGTCGTTTGGCTGCTTTAACTCCTCCATTGAAATGCTTCTCATAAATTGAAACATGAAAAAACTTGTATGACAAGGTGAAAGGATATTTAAACAAACAAGAATAATACTTTAGATGACACAAATTGAACTCGCCTCTCCGTAACAATATGTCCAGAACAAGCCAGACGGTTAAATGAGATTTCAGTTTTGGCATTGAAGCATAGTAGAAAATCTCTCGTCTGACAACTCAGAGTAAAACTAAATCATGATGTGCCTCTTTATGAGAAAGTGCAGACAGAGAGGAAAACATAGCACATCATTTCACTTAACTTGCGCGTCGTCCTCTTGGCTTTGGTAAAGGACGGGAACAATTCAGTAGTCGGAAAAAAGATGTGTATCTGTGTTGTATCAGTTTTTTCCTCCCTAGAATGAAGTAGCATGTGGCTAGAAGCAAGCAGTCACACGTTCCCCTCACAGCAGGAGTGTGTATGGAAAGCAGTTTGTCTACGTGATGAACTTTCAAAATGTGTAAATCAGTATACAAAGCAAGCCGTCCTCCCCATCCCTGACTCACAGCCTTAATGGATTCAACCACTCTACCTCCTCTGTCATAATAAAACATTAAATCAAAGATTTTGAGACGACATTGTCCAGTAAGTGGAAATAAACACTCCCACCAAGTCTCCCACACGTAGTCATTTGTTAGTCATACTGTCCCACCCACAGACTCGTCTCCCGTAAAGGTGAAACCCGAAACTCAGAAAAAGTTTCCCAATTTACAGTTGGAAGTTCTGTTACTTGAGTTGAAGATTTAAAACAAACAATGAATGCATGCTTGAGGGTACATAAATACTGATAGGACCATTTTGACTTCTTTATTCAGCTTTTAAGGTGAAGCTGGTGGCTGTCGTTGTAGTCTCGTTTACTCCGATATGTGCACATGAGACCATCGGAATTTATCGAGTTATTAATTATGAAAAGACAAGTAACTTTGCTGAAAGTTAGCTTGAAATAAAAACTATTTCTTGGGGAAAAAACACAAATTGTTTTTACAGTCTTTTGTTCCTATGGATTAAACAAACTGGACATAAAGAGTTAATTAGTGAGCTTTAGATGTGCTCGGTAATGCTTTTACCTTTTGGACAGAGCCAAGCTAGCAGTTTCCCCCGGTTTCCAGTCTTTATGCTAAGCTAACAGGTTGTAGCTTCATATCTAACAGACAGAGAGAGGTGTTGATCATCACATCAAGCTATCGTCAGGAAAGTGGATAAGCGTGTTTGTCAATGTGGAACTATTCCTGCTAATGACAACTGGTCAGTTACTGATGCAATTCTTACAAGGAGCTGTGTAATGCACTCTGTGTAACTATACTTGCCAAAGAACTGTTTCAGATTATAACAGCCGTGGCAAAAACCTCTAAATTAATGAGAGAATCTGATCTAATCTAATCTTCAGACTCTCTGCACTGTATCCCTGCCACTGCTCAGGTCGGATCAAGTCTCACAACAGTCTCTACGGCACCACTGCTTTACATGACTTCCTCACTACAATAAATGTGCACGTGGTTCACATTTCAATCCTGCCAAAATAAAGTTCACCCATACCAGCAGTGAATGACACTGAGCCTGGATCACATGGTGAAAAACAACTGTTAACCCGCGAGGATACACCAGAGGAGTGAGGTTTGTCTTTTAGTACCACACAAAGAAGTTTGTAGGCAATCAGCAAAGCATTTGACAGCATTCATACGCTTTGTGTGGTTCCTAGTTCACCAAATATCTATTGACAAATCACAAATCTGAATTATCCTGATGTGGTAAACCCCACCCATCTGGCGGCTTATGGAGGTTAAAACAAATACGAGTTATTTTCAGTTACTGTGTCTGACCCAGGTCTGTTTGACGGCAATCAGCTGCTACAGTGTTAGCCGGGATTATGGGACCTGGCATTATCTCCTGAGGCAAAACAGCCCCTCATGTTAGGCCAATAATGGCTGGGGTTGAGACCC